AGGATCCAGGACTACCTAGAAGCGAATAACATCTTGCCAGTAGAGCAGAAAGGAAACAAACAAGGAAGCAGAGGCACAAAGGATCAGCTCCTGATTGACAAACTGATTCTAGAGAACTGCAAAAGCCATAAAACAAATCTGCATACAACTTGGATTGATTACAAGAAAGCATTTGATTCACTACCGCACAGCTGGATCATCAAGTGCCTAGACGTCATCGGAATATGCAAGTGCATTGGTACTTTCATTGCAAATGTGATGAAGTCCTGGAAAACAGAACTGTTTATTGGAAGTGAAAGCTACGGACTGGTCAACATCAAAAGAGGGATTTTCCAGGGTGATTCTTTGTCACCTTTGTTGTTCATCATTGCCATGACCCCCCTAACTAACCTGGGTTATCAAACTGCTAAAAACTCACAAAAAATCTCTCACCTGCTGTACATGGATGACCTGAACTATATGGAAAATCAGAAATTGAGATCCAGTCACTGACCAATACAGTTCGAATTTTCAGCACTGACATCAGCATGGAGTTCGGACTGAACAAATGCGCCACAGTGGCACTGAAGAAAGGAAAGATCATAGACAGTGATGGAATTGAAATGTGCAATGGACAAACCATCAAGTGCCAGCAACCCGAAGCCTACAAATACCTGGGCATACTGGAGCTCGACAACATCAAGCATGGGCAAGTAAAAAATGTGGTCAGCAAAGAATATACACAAAGGGTCAGGAAACTGAATGGCGGTAACACCATCAACGCTATAAATACTTGGGCCATACCCGTCATCAAATATACTGCTGGGATCATGAACTGGACACAGGCAGAGCTGGACAGCCTGGATAGGAAAACAAGAAAACTGATGACCATACACTATGCGTTGCACCCACGTAGTGATGTTGACAGGTTATATTTACCCAGAAAAGCAAGAGGCAGAGGACTTTTGCAAGTGAAGCAGACAGTCGAAGAAGAGAAGCATGCTCTGGCAGATTATGTGAAAGACAGTGTTGAACCAGCTTTGATGATCAACAAGAGGAAGCTGTTCAAAGTGCAGCAAACCAAGAATCAATATAGGAAAACAGTGATGTAAACTCAGGCTGACAGCTGGTGTAATAAAGCACTGCATGGACAGTTCCTTGAAAAGATCCAAGGAAAAGTAGATAAGGAAAAGACCTGGTTATAGCTGACCAACAGAACATTGAAGAAAGAGCCAGAAGGCCTGATTCTTGCAGCCCAAGAACAAGCCATCAGAACAAATGTAATCAAAGCCAGAATAGAAAAATCTGCTGATGACCCCAAATGCAGACTCTGCAAAGAAGCGGATGAAACCATTGACCACATACTGAGCTGTTGAAAGACAATAGCTCAGATTGACTACAAACAACGTCACAACACAGTCGCTCAGATGGTCCACTGGAACTTGTGTCACAACTACCATCTGCCTGTAGCAAAGAACTGGTAGGATCATAAGCCTGAAAAAGTGGTCGGAAATGAGCATGCAAAACTGCTGTGGGACTTCCGAATACAGACTGACAAAGTTTTAGAACACAATACCCTGGATATCACAATTGTGGTGAAGAAAAAAGTGTGGATCGTGGACATTGCCATATCTGGTGACAGCAGAATCGATGAGAAACAACTTGAAAAAGTCACCAGATATCAGGACTTGAGAATACTGTAGAACTGCAGAGACTCTGGCATAAACCAGGGCAGGTGGTCCCAGTGGTACTCGGCACACTGGGTGCTGTGCCTAAAGACCTAGGCAAACACTTAAAAACAATTGGTGCAGACAAGATCACCATTGGTGCAGAAGGCCACCTTACTGGGATCTGCTCGCATAATCCGCCGATACATCACACAGTCCTAAACCCTTGGGAAGTGTTCGACTAGTGATTTGTGATACGAAATCCAGCATGGTTATCTCGTTTGCTGTGTATACTGTCATTTTTGTGTATATAATAATAATAAACAACATATACCAATCAGTGAAAAAGGCTGTATGATGGTGATGGGATTAGAGTTCTAAAAAACTGATTTATAAATTACACTATACTCAGTTCATCTTAGTAAATTCACAGGTTTAGGGTTAGGGTTTACATTAAGTTAATAAGTATCTTGTGGCAATGGTTGAATGAGGGAATGATCATACTCTTTACAAATCATTAAAGCTATGGCACTTGTGGTTAGAAGTACTGCAGGCTACTTCTGCTGACTGCCAGCTGAATGCAATTTGGCAGTTTGAATCTCACCAGGCTCCAGGTTGACTCAGCCTTCCATCCTTCCAAGGTGGGTAAAATGAGGACCCAGATTGTTGGGGGCAATATGCTGACTCTGTAAACCAATTAGAGAGGGCTGTAAAGCACTGTGAAGTGGTATATAAGTCTAAGTGCTATTGCTATTAAAGAGAATGTGAGGTTCAAGTCAGTGGTGCAGTTCAAATAATTTAACAACCAGTTCTCTGTCCTAATGACTGGCTGAGTAAGTGTGGCCATGGTGGGCATGGCCAGAGGGTGTGATAGGCAGCACTCGGCCTCCTACACCACCCTGGGAGCAAAAAGAGGCCATGGGGGAGGGGACGTGCCATCCTCCCCCCCTTGCCCCATTTTGGGCCTACTAGGCCTCCGTGCAGCCTCTGGGAGTGAAAACAGGCCCCAAGGGGAGGGGACACACTGCGCCCCCGCACCCTATTTTGTGCCTAGGAGGTCTCCCTGCACTTACCTGGGAGCCAAAATGGGGCATGTGGGGACTCCTGGAAAGGCCAGGGCAGGGCCAGCCAGCAATATAACTACCGGTTCACCAGAACCAACCCAAACTGACTGAATACCACCACTGGTTCTAGTCCTCCCTCAAGCACAAAGCGAACTGAATGATTCTGATCTCTAGAAAGCAGGACATAGTAAATCACTTCTTAAAATCTTTGCAAGAAAACTTCTCCAGGCTGTGTCTCAGAACTGGGCATGAGTCAATGGAAGCAAGAAAAAAATGGTAAATGTTAAGCAATTGTCTCAAACTCAGCAAGTTTATGAAGTGTGGACTTCAACTCCAAACTTCAACATACTGGCTGGGGAATTCTGGCAGTTGAAGTTCACACCTCTTCTGGTTGGTAAGGATTGAGGAAAAAATGAATTAAAGAGCCTAAGTGACACAGTGGTTAAAGTGCAATACTGCAGGCTACTTCAGCAGCCTGTCGGCTTTCGGCAGTTTGTATCTCACCAGGATCAACATTGACTGAGACTTCCATCCTTCCAAGGTAGGTAAAATGATGGCCCAGATTGTTGGGCTCAATATGCTGACTCTGTAAAACTGCTTAGAGAGATCTGTAAAGCACTGTGAAGCAGTATATAAGTCTAAGTGCTATTGCTATCTTTTGGTTTAATTTAAAACAAAAGAAAATGATGAAAATGGGACACTAAGGATTGATGAGGATGTGAAGAATTTGGGTATGTATAATTGATGAAATGGGCACTGTCAACACATAGATTCTTCATATGAAAGAAATCTCATTTTATTTATGAACAGACATTGCCTCTTTCCATCTGTAACAAGAAATGTCCTTTCGGCTACAGCAAGCTAAAAGTAGAAGGGAAATTATCTTGCTGCTACAACTGTCGACGGTGTCCAGAAGGGAAGATAGCTAACCAAATGGGTGAGCAAAGGAATATATTGAATATATCATCAATTTAATAAATATAAATGGGGTTGAATTTTTCAACAGTATTATGGTGATTGAAAGCTCAGTGGCTAAGACCCTGAGCTTGTCAATCGAAAGGTCGCCAGTTCAGTGGTTCGAATCCCTAATGCTGCGTAATGGGGTGAGCTCCCATTACTTGCCCCAGCTTCTGCCAACCTAGCAGTTCAAAAGCACATAAAAACTTCCAGTTTTGGAGCATTCACAACTTCTGGAGGCAAGTGGTTCCACTGATTAATTGTTCAGGAAATTTCTCCTTAGTTCTAAATTGCTTCTCTCCTTGATTACTTTCCACCCATTGCTTCTTGTCCTACCCTTAAGTGCTTTGGAGAATTGTTTGACTCCCTCTTTTTTGTGGCAACACCTGAAATATTGGAACACTGCTAACATCTCTCCCCTAGTCCTTCTTTTCATTAAACTATACATACCCAATCCCTGTAACCATTCTTCATATGTTTTAGCCTCCAGTCCCCTAATCATCTTTGTAGCTCTTCTTTGCACTCTTTCTAGAGTCTCAACATCTTTTTTACATCGTGGCGACCAAAACTGAATGTAGTATTCCAAATGTGGCCTTACCAAGGCATTATAAAGTGGTATTAACATTTCAAATGATCTTGATTCTATCCCTCTGTTTATGCAGCCTAGAACTCTGTTGGCTTTTTTGGCAGCTGCTGCACACTGCTGGCTCATACTTAAATGGTTGTCCACTAAGACTCCAAGATCCCTTTCACAGTTACTACTGTTGAGCAAGGTACCACATATACTGTACCTGTGCATTTTGTTTTTCTTGCCTAAATATAGAACCTTACCTTTTTCATTGTTGAATTTCATTTTGTTAGATAGCGCCCAATATTCAAGTCCTTCTGTATCTTGAGCCTATCTTCTGGAGTGTTGGCTATTCCTGCCATCTTGGTGTCATCTGCAAATTTGATGAGTTCCCCATCTATTCCCTCGTTCAAGTCATTGATGATGTTGAAGAGCACTGGGCCTAAAACAGAGCCTTGGGGTACTCCATTACATACACATATATATATGTAATATGTATATATTTAAACCATTTTTACTTCTTATTCTACCTGGAGAGTAGAAGTATAATATACAGATTATGATGCAACTGTATATCTTAAGGGATATTGAAATTGAACACTGAATTAGTTAGTGCATTTCACTATATATTATTTTCAGGAAAAATAATATGAAGGCATAGTATCTTAGTAAATAAAGTATGTAATTAATTATTCCTGCTTAAAACCTATAATGGTTCTGTGAAACAGTTTTATTTGTTCTTTTTCCCCAGACTTAGATGATTGTTTCCCATGTCCAGAGGATCAACATCCAAACAAAGGTCGAGATAATTGTCTTCCAAAAACTGTAACTTATTTGACTTTCCAAGAGCCGCTGGGTATTTCTTTGGTAACAATTTCAGTTTCCTTTTCTGTCATCTCAGCTATGGTGTTGGGAATCTTCATTAAACACCAGGACACTCCCATTGTCAAAGCCAACAACAGGAACCTCACCTACATTCTTCTCATTGCTCTCCTGCTCTCCTTCCTTTGCACTCTGCTCTTCATTGGGCAACCTGATCAAGTGAAATGTCTCTTGCGACAAAGTACTTTTGGCATCACTTTCTCTATAGCTCTTTCTTGTATTTTGGGTAAAACAACCATAGTAGTTCTTGCCTTTATGGCCACCAAGCCAGGCTCCAAAATGAGGAAATGGGTGGGGAGAAGAATGGCCAACACGATTGTCCTATCTGTCTTCATGGTTCAATTCACCATTTGTGCAGTGTGGTTGGCAATTTCTCCCCCATTTCCAGATTCAGACATGCACTCCATGGTTGAAGAAATTGTCTTGGAATGTAATGAAGGTTCAACCACAATGTTTTATACTGTCCTTGGCTTCATGGGATTCTTGACTGCTGTCACCTTCACGGTGGCCTTCCTGGCTAGGAATTTACCTGATAGCTTCAATGAAGCCAAATTCATCACCTTCAGCATGTTGGTCTTTTGCAGTGTCTGGGTGTCATTTGTTCCCACCTACTGGAGTACAAAGGGAAAATATGTGGTTGCTGTGGAAATCTTTTCCATTTTGGCCTCAGCAGCTGGATTACTGGGCTGCATCTTTTCCCCCAAGTGCTATATCATTATTCTGAGACCTGATTTGAATAAGAAGGAGCAACTAATAAAGAAATGAAAGGGCTTATTGAGACTTGGCTTATTTGAATAAAGCCAAATTGTTTACTTTCAGGCAATAGGGGTTTTTCCCCTCAGTTTGGGACAATAATTTGATATATATGATAAAAGCAATGATTATAAAAATTCAATTCATTGTATTTGTTTGTATATTAATTTATCACTCTCTTTATCTGTATGAGTGTGTGAGAGAGAGTATGCATGTATGTATGTATGTATGTATGTATGTATGTATGTATGTATGTGAATAGGAGGGAGACAGAGGAAGAGACAGAGATAATGATGTAGTTGTATATTTGGCTTAATGATATTGACTTCACATTGCTTCTGTGTCTGTGTTTTGACAAAATAGGATAACAGACAGTGCATTTCAATTAAATATCATATTGTGACATGTCATGGCAGGTCATGTTATTTCATGTCATATGATGTAGCAGGCTCCGCTCTAAGATATGATCCCCAGGACATTTGACATTCCAATCTTTTAAGGGTCTTCCAGAAGGACCATGGTTGGGCCCAGCCACACCTTGAGTGCAGTAATGATCCCCAAGATAAGGCCAGAGCAGAAAATGCTTTCCTGCTAGGTCCCACCTAACAAAATGCCCAGGCTTATGGGATACAGGATCAGCAACAATAGCAATTTGGCTATTCTGCATTATTTTCTTGTATCATCACATCAAGTGACATGCAAGGTAGCAAGATGATATATAGGGTACACGGATATATAACTTACACTCACTGTATGAAACCATGACAGATAATACAACTAATTTGAACTTTAATGGACAGTAGCAAGATGACCAAGTGGGAGATTCTGGGAGAAGGGAAGATTTTCAGCTTTGCATGGGAATCTTCAGATTTGGCTTCTCCTACACAGTAACCACTTGGCTTTAGTAAAACTTTACCTTTCACTATAAATGGAGTCAAGGGTCCTTCTTTCCTAAACTTTCAAGTTAGGAAAGAAAGTTAGCTTCTCAATATTCTTCACACCCATTTAAAAATATATAGAGGAAAATCCACACTAATATCCACTGCCCCAAATCTGAATGTTTGAAATTGACTTTGGTGTAGCAGGGGGTCCTCTGGTCTGAGCTGTCTGAGCTGGACAGAGCAGGCTGCAGTGGAAGACTGGGTGGATTTTACCCAATATCTGGGGTAGACGGAGTTGTACTGTAACAGGGTTAATAACCCATATGATGGGGAATGGGCCGATGTATTTAGGACCAAGTTTCTTACAGGGCATGTTCAATTTTAGGTGTTTGGTGGATAGGTATACTTGCTGTCCTATACAGAAAGGGAGTTGTAACCTCCGTCTTTTGTCCACTTGCTGTTTATATTCTGTGGCACCTCTCTTACCACCAGCCACACATGCTGTGTCTGTTCCACTGACCCTTGGACTCCCATGTCCTCTGGGCTTTCTTTTCTTTTCTTTTTTCTTTTCTTTTATTAGATTTATATACTGCCCTACTCCCGAAGGACTCAGGGTGGTGAACAGGCACAAAATAAAATACATAAATACAAAAGTTAAAAGATATAATTAAAACCAAATTAAATAATTTAGCCCAAGACAATTAAAAAATCCCAATAATTTAAAACAAATTAAAATTTCGATGTAAAAGAATTTTAAAACAGGAGAGAAAATTAGGCCAGGCCAGCTTGCTGGAATAGAAGAATCTTAAGAGCACGGCAGAAAGTGCGTAGAACCGGGATCCTCCGTATCTCTGGGGGGAGCTCGTTCCAGATAGTGGGTGCCCCCACAGAGAAGGCCCTCCCCCTGGGGGCCGCCAGTCAACATTGTTTAGCTGATGGCACCCGGAGGAGCCCCTCTCTATGAGAGCATAGCAGCCGGTGGGAGGCTGCTTGTGGTAGTAGGCGGTCCTGTAAATAATACCGGAGTATTATTGGCTCACCCAAGGACACTCGGGTATTGGGACAAGCTGCCAGTAGCCATTTGGAATGGGGTAAACCCTGTACTGCTGTGGACTGCATTATTATACGCTACTTCAGCAAATGGGAGTAGGTCAGCCCAATCAGTTTGCTGATGTTTAACATAGCAGCACAAATAATGTTCGACCATTGCATTTGCTCTTTCAGAAGCTCCATTGGTCGCAGGGTGGAATGCTGAACTTAGACCCTGTGAGGACCCAACCCTGGTCAGGAACTCCCGCCAGAACCTGGTGGTAAATTGTATCCCCTGATCAGATATCACCCTCTGAGGAACACCATGGAGGTGATATATATGGACAATAAATAATTTGGCCAGCTTTCTGGCAGAGAGGAGGCCGGAGCAGGCTATGAAATGGGCCCGCTTTGAGAAGAGATCTATCATGGTCCAGATTACCTTATGGCCCTGGTTTTCTGGTAGATACATGATAAAATCCATGGCTATCTGTTCTCACAGTCGCACTGGGGCTGCCACTGTTTGTAACAGGCTGGAAGGTTTTCCGAATTGAGCCTTCATGGTGGTACATACAACACTACTCCTCACATACTCCTCTATATCTTTTTTCATATGAGGCCACCAGAATTGTTGGTTAGTTAAATGCAAGGTCTTAAGGAACCCAAAATGCTCAGCCAAGCAATCATCATGGCAGCGATGGAGCACTTCTAATCAGATAGCCTGGGGCATATATAGCTTGGAACCCTTCCAAGTAAAGCTGTCTCTCTGGGTAAGCAGGGATCGGTTCTCCGGTCTGGTCTGTAGGGAGTGTGGTCTGGATGGCCAGTGGTATGCCCTCCCTAGTGTTCGGTTGGGATGCTGATGGATACTGTTGGGATACTAGTACTTGGGGCTGCTCTATTGGTATGATAGCCTGCACTATCTCCTCCTGAGCACTATCATAATGGGGCTTTCTGGATAGGACATCTGCCAGGAAGTTCTTTCTAGCTGGTATGTATTTCAATTTGAACTTAACTGTCCTGAAATACAGTGCCCATCAATTGTTTCGGCGACAGCCACCGTGGGGTTTGGAGGGCCTCCAGATTTTTGTGGTCTGTCCAGACTTCAAAGGGCAACCCCAACCCTCCAGTAGGTGTCACCCTAACAGGGCCCACTGAACTGCAAAGGCTTCCTTTTCCCATATTGGCCAGTTTCATTCAGTGTCAGTCAATGACTGTGATGTATAGGCACACGGTTAAAGTGCCCCCTCCCCATTCATCTGTAGAAGGACTGCAGCCACCACCACCACATCACTGGTGTCAGCTTGAATCACAAAAGGCCTAGACGGCTCTGGGTGTTGAAGAACTGGCTCCTTCACAATTAGAGCTTTTAGGTGCTCATATGCTTGCTGGTTCTCGATCGTCCATTGCACTGGGCAACCAGGACATGGCTTCCTGGTGAATTGCCTCATTTTCAAGAGGCCAGTAAGTGGCAGAGCTACTTGGGCAAAAGAAGGGATGAACTGACGGTAGAAGTTGGCGAAACCCAAGAAACTTTGTAGTTGTTTTTGTGTTTTAGGTGCCTGCCAGTCTAACACCATTTTAACCTTTGCGGGGTCCATGTCTACCCCATTCAGTGAGATATTGAACCCTGGTAGTCCAATTGGACTTGTGGAACTCACACTTGGACAGTTTAACATACAAGTGAGTGGCTAACAGCTTCTTGAGTACCTGATGCACTAGGGTGACATGTTCCTGCATAGTCTTAGTGTATATGAATAGACGAGTACCCCGTTATACAAGTGTTCATGAAATACCTTGTTGATGAGCTGCATGAACACAGCAGGAGCTCCTTTCAGGCCAAAGGGCATAACCCTAAACTGGTAGCTTCCTAGGGTCAATTAAAGATGGTTTTCCACTCATCCCCAGCCTTGAGCCTTACTCTATAATACGCCTCCCAGAGGTCTAGCTTGGTGAAGACCTAGCCCTCTGCCAAATGGGCCAGCATGTCCTTCATCAACAGGAGGGGGTACAGGTTTTCTACGTACACAGCATTGATCCCCAAAAGTCAACACATAAGCTTAAGCCTCCATCTTTCTTTTACCTGAAAAGGATGGGTGTGGCTACCCTGGACCTAGCTGTCTGGATGAACCCTCTTTTCAGGTTCTTTCCAATATAAGCCCTTATTTCTGTTAGCTCTTGTGGGGTCACTGAATACATCTTGTGCTTTGGCAAGGTAGCTCCAGGAAGGATCTCTATCCCACAATCAGTGGGACGGTGGGGAGGTAAGGTGTCACACTCCCTTTCACTGAAGACCTCCTTCAAATCCACATACACCTCAGGGTAGCTTAGCTCCCCTGTGGCCTTCAACTGTGCTATGGTACTCCCATCCCAGCGCCGGGGCTTGAGGATGCTCCTCATGTGATGGTGGGATGGGCCCAAGGCCTATCTGCAGATTTCAGCAAAACCACCCATACCAAATCATTGGGGTCCACTTATCCAGCCATGCTAAGCCTAGGACTACTTCCTCTGTTATTTTCGGGATCACCACAAACTGCAGAACCTCACGATGGGACCTTCTCCATAACATGGGTGGCTGGCTGTCCACCCAGCAATGAACCATCCATTTGTTCAAACCGGATGGGCTGGGACAGTTCCTGGAGCCCCACCCCTAGACTGGTGGCAACACCTGCACTCATTAGACAGCGAGTGCATCCTGTATCTATCAATACTGTGCATGTCCTTCACCTCCGCACTTCCACCACTACCAGGATCACAAAGGGTTTGATTGGCATACTCACCATCAGGTCGGACTCTTCATCCTCCTCACTTCTGCTGGCATTCGGTCCTTCATCTGAACCAGCCACCCCCCCCGCCCCCGCTTGGGGTCACTGGTGATGTCTATGGAGTCCCACATAGTTTCTCCTGAGAGGTCTTAATGCTCTTCCTGGCAGTTTGCTTCATATTGGAGGTCCCGCGGACACCCTTGGGCTGGCCTTCGAACACTCCACTGCCCGGTGACACAGGCCTCCCCCTCTGTCTTACAGCCAATAGCTCCCCCTCCGCTTGCTGGGACTTGGTGCTGTCTTCAAATCTTTCTTGAAGGGTGGCCAAAAATAGGCCTAGATCCCCTTACTCTGCAGCAAACTCACTGTATAGGTTTGTCACCCAATCCACAGCTTCCTCTTCCATTATTGCTGTCACTGCCATTACCATGTCCCAGTGTGAGGTGTACAGGTAGCATATTTTGGAAACTTCACAA